CAGCATGACTGAAAAAAACTCAGAATCTGTTCTGTGATGATGAAACATCACAAGCTTGGTTTGGGTGTTATTGAATATTACAAGCAAATTACTCCCACATTATGCAGTGTGAATAAGGCCAGTTGATCATTGTCTTTTATTGAAGTCCACATTCTTTTGAAAATTTTAAATACATATGCCTTTGTAAGGACACAGAAGGTGCTTATCTTCCTTTGGTGGAGGTAAGTCATGTGGGTCACATGACAGCCACCTAGTGACATCACTCCATACAGTGATGACAGCAGCAGCCAAATTCAGTTTCAGCAGCAAACTGAAAGGTTGCTTTCTTTTTAGCCTGGGGCAAGGGGCCCAGGCTGAGGCTAAATCTACCTCTCCTGCAGCTTACATGTCCATGGTGCTGTTTTCCTTTTGGATATATATCTTTCCCAGATATAGACTGAAACACCAGCTTGCAATCCTCAATTTGGGAAAAGCCAAGACTCACTATTTCCTGTTTGTGGAATATGTCCTGGCCTGGGACATAGATGAATCCAGCCTGTTTGAATCTGGAGTCCTAAACATGGCTTCTCCAGACAGGAATATCTCCATATTATATGTAAGACTCTTTCTTTTTGTTTCTCCTTACACTCTACTTTGCTGTGTAGATATATGTGATATTATTCGTGGTGTATATTGATTGTGTATGACATAATGATATAAAAGTCTCTCTTAGAACAAAGCATGTTTGTCATTCTTTTTACTCTTGGTCATTCTGTTTCATCCTTGAACTATCATGTTATTATATCATGGATATAATAATGCCCATAACAGGGGAAATACAAATGAGAGAATATATTTTTCTTCTATAGCTCTCTTCTGTTACACCTTCTTTTCTAACTTGTATAGTAAAGATTTGGTTAAGCTAAAATGTATCTTTTTGTAGTTTAGCAAACAGCTAAAAAGTTGAATAGTAGCAAAATGAACAAAAATCCAAAGAGTATCAAAATAATCAGTTGCAAATCCAAGTAGTGTTCTTCCATCACTAGCACCACCTAACCCACCTTGTAAAACAAAGAAACATCAGTGTTAATATATTTGTAGCCACAATCACAGATTGACTGTGATTTTTTGATGACCAAGTCTGAAAAATATTGTGTCTTTCTCACTTGAATGAATATGACTTGAATTTCTTTAGGAAATTCATTTTTGAACCTTTTAAAGGGGTTCAAGTTACAATGCAAGTAAGCTGGACACTTACTTTGAGTCTATTATTTATGCAAATGGGGGTAATTTTTATTAGGCTATAATACCTATAATTTATAAAATATGGAAACCTAAAATGGTTAAAAAAAAGATAAAGTCTTTTTCTGGGCTTGATCAAAAGTTGCTGTTTATTTTTCTCTGCAACAAGGAATTCAATGCATGGTATATGAAAACCTTCAAACTTGAATCCAACTTTAACCCCAATCTGTAGTACTTACCCTAATATTGGCTCTACCAATCTCTAAACTGAAAAGTAGATATAAATTTGCATAAATACTGGCACAAAATTAGGATCTAGTCAAGTCGTATATTCACATTTTGAATAATACAAAGTCAGGATCTAGACTAAAAATCTAGACTTGTTTTCTAACTTGTTGCATAGTAAAGAAAAAAATCTGTCTATGTCTATGTGTGTATTGCATGCACATTGTAAATTGCATCTCCATTTTATGGCCACTCTACTAATTTCCACCTTAAAACTTTTAATTTCTTCAAAATTAACAGGTTTCCAAAGAAATAAGTCATTTTTATAATGAACTGTGTCATGAAAATATATTTTTGCTGAAAAATATACAATCTTAGTGTAATTAATTTTTTCCTCATTGTCCTAATAATACAGATTAAATGGACTTTGATAAAAATTCAATAGGTTTTGATCCTTTGACCTGATGACTGGCTGCAAAATGACAATATCTGTTAAGCAACCAAGAATATGTTGATAGCATAATGTTTAACAAAGTGGAAAGAAGAATTGGCAAGCCAAGTTCAAATTTCAGCTTAATATATTGCATTCAATTTTGCACAAATATCCTTGTGTGAGGCATGAATTCATCTCTTCTCCTACCAGCTATGGGTTAAATAGCAAGGTAGACTTGTTTAGCTAGCCTTAGATGGCAACCGTTGTAAGAAAAGAAAACTGAGTTCATAACAATGGTGAAGACAAGAAAGCACCCCAGTATCTTTTCCAAGAAAATATGGCAATTCACAGATAATAAAGAAAATAAATCTGTCAAGAGCCTTGATTACCAATAGCCTAGAGAAACATAGTCTTCAATAAAGGAATTTTTTAAAATCATTTCACTCCAAACAAATCAATAAATCCACTAAGATGCAAGGAGGTTACTGAGTGTGAGAGAATATGAGAAAAAAAACACTATTAAGGAGAGAGAACAATAAAGGAACAAGAATTAAAAAGACAGAAGATAATGATTGATATTGCATTGGAAATTTTAAAGATTAAAGTTGATTGGAAAGAATGGAGCTGGAAGGGAGTTCTACAATTGAGAAATGTAAAAAAAAAAAAACTGTTAGCATGGTTTGATTTAGCCATTTCAACAGTAAAATGATAAAACCTTGACACCAGTCTAGTACTGCACTTAAATTCATAAAGTCTAAGTCCATCAGAACAATTACCATGAAAATATTTATAGAAAAGGCACAAGGAAGCTATATTGAGTAGGCTGGGCTCTCTAGCTTTTTGGTGGCAACCAATCTAAGAGAAGGAAAAGTTTGAATTCCAAACAATGGCTAGGATAATGAGAAACCATTCCCCTATCTTTACAAAAAAGTTTATAGCAATTCACAAATAATAAAGAAAAGTAAGCTGTGGAGAGCTGTGATTGTTTACATCCTGAAGGGACGAGGTATTAAAAAAATGCACACTTAGGGATGCATGGGAGGTGCAAAAGATTATCAGTGCAAAAAATGACATCAACAGGCTGAATTCAAATTTCAGCTAAGGTTGTGGAATTTACTTTCTGCTAATTCTCTTGAGAAAGCCATAAATCCATCTCTCCTCTTACCAGCTATGGGTAAAAGAGCAGGGTAGAATGGGCTCTCAACCTTGGATTCAAAACTGTGGAGAAGGCAATGGGATACAAACCATCTTTCTCAAGAATGTATAGCAATTTACAAGAATCTGTGAATAGCCATGACTGTCTACAGTCTGAAAGGACATATTATTTTAAAAAAATATACCATCATATTACTACTTGAATAGACAGTGAAATATTAAATCCTTTTTTTATTTTTTAAATATTTATATTATTTGAATTAGTAACATCTTTGCAAGTAATATTGATGTATTTGAAACATCAAAAACAAAACTGAACATTTTCCTTGAATTTTTATTGCATTTTAACAAGAATGCTATTAATTTAGAATTTAAGCTTTATCATAATTGATGATTTTTTCAACTGAAACTTAATTTCATTATTATTGTGATTTTTTATACACTAAATTTCATCTGTGCAAGTTTTGAGAGTCACTCAAGGTAGAGTCGAAATGGTAATAATGAATGAGGTTTATGACATGAGTGTAAGGGAAGGTGGTAGGAAGTGTAGTTTATGGGGATAAGGAAGAAAGCGAATGGCCCTTGACTTGAAGAGGTCAAGATTGTAGAGTTCAGAGAAACACAAAGTGGCAATTCTTGAGAAAGTGCTGTCTATGTGGAACTTTCTTATATTTGGAACATGAAAGAAATGAATGTGATTTGAATCCATGGAATGTCCCCATGGTAAAGATATTAAATTCATAGAAGAAAAAGGAAACTAAAATAAAATAACTATTTTTTATTCTTTTTACATGAAGGCACTGAATAAAATTTTAAGAAAGAAAAGGGCATGTATACTGACAATCAGAAAGAGACAGTTGAAATTTCTTGGATACATAATGAAAAAAGAAGGATTGGAGAATTTAACACTCACAGGACATATTGAAGGCAAGAAGAGCAGAGGGAAACCACTTGAGTGAATAAATAGCAGTAGAAGGACAAAGAGGGATAGTTAAGGGTTAACATTATTTAGGTCAACAAAAGACAGGAAGTTGGGATGAGCCATTATTATGAGAAATTGCCTGATTGAAAGAAAAACCGTTTGATAGAGAAAATTGCTGAAAAGAATGAAAACTTAGCTGAATAAAAGAAAAATTGCCTATAAGAATGAAAAATTGGATTGATAAGTCATAGAAAATGAATAAATAAATAAAAAAAAATTTTTTGTTTCCTTAAGTTTCTTCTTATAATGTAATTTTTACTCAAAGAATATTTTACAAGTAAGCTATAATTTAAAAGTTCTACAATCCTGTGTGTATAAAACGCACATTTTTTTCATCCAAAATCATGTCCAAAGGTCTGCTGAGTCTTATAATTTATTTTAGAACTCAATCCCCCTTTTTTTTTGCAACTCAAAATTTAGAAAATCTTGTCAAACTGGATTTATCTGTTTACCAGAGAGAAATGGCATATTGCAACAAAGGGAGATAAATATGTCATAATGTTTCTCTCCAATCTGGATGGTACCATACTTTTTCCAGATTTTGTTGAGTCTAGACATCTACGTTGAATTTGGAAATCATTCAAAAGGTAAAAATATTATTTAACCAATGATAAAAAAATACAAAATGATACATAATTTCAAAATAAAAATCATCAAAAACAATTCTTTGTTAAAAGGCAATTAATGACTGTTTCACAATAAAATGGTGGGTGGTTTTGCTTAGTGGTATATCTGCCACTATGGGTTATTTAATGATGAAATCTAAATATTTTGTATGCGATTTTATTTTATTTTTGGAGATAATAATGTTTTAATAATACAAGTCTTACTAATTAACTAATAGTGGGGGGGAGAAGAGGTGAATTCATACCATTCCCAAGGTTATTTGTACATAAGTGACTATAACAAATCCAACAGGAATTGGAACTTGGCTGTCCTGAGCTATTCTGAGCCATTATCCTTTACAATAGTTGCAAACCTAAGCTTACAGCACCTGGTATTCCCAAGTGGTCACTTATCTAGATACTGATAAGGCTTGATGTTGCTTAACATTGGTAATCAGATGGAAACCAGTGTTTCAATGTGATGTGGCCTGTTTCCTGATAAAGACCTTCAGCAAGTTTTGCAAACAACCAATTACCAAATTTAGTACCAACCAAATGCAAGTGGTGTCCAAAAGAGTCATACAAGTGGGAATTTTTCAACTTATAAGATAATTGTGCCAGTTCAAATAAATGTTTCACCAGGAATTTTTGTATATAAGTTCAATAAACATGGAACAAAACAATCAGGTAGTGTGAAAATTATGTGAAAAATAATAATCTTGCTGTACCAAACAAACACTGGGCCAGGGGAAAAATAGAAAAAAAATAATTTAAGGAACCGATTTTCACAACTTAAAACGATTACTTGGTTACTTATTTTAGAGTATCATTTTTACTTATAATTATTGCCACATTACACAAACAATAAACAGGGCATTATTTAAATAAATTAGTTCTAAATCATCAACAGTGTCTTTTTATGCTAAACTGTCACTTAAATTATTGCCAACTAAAACTTTTTTTTGCATTTACATAAGCAATTTACATAAATAGTGAAGTAATCATTCTAAGTCATGCAATTAATCAAAATAAGTGCTGTGTAATTTGTTGCAATAATTTAATCATGTTGGCACATGGATTTGTCAAACAAGAACCACTTGTTTCCAAGAATATTTATTTGCTGGGGTAGCTATCCAAAACCCTGTTGCAGATGCCTGCTCAGACAGATTTGTACTTATTCAAAACCCAGAGAACCTATCTATGATTAATACTGCAACTATGCTGAGAAGATTGTGGTTACAGTTTCTGGGAAAGTGTGTATAATCTGGCATGATCACCAGTTTGAACAGTGCCAGTACACTCAAAGCGTCATCATGATGACTTGTGACTTTGTGCTAGTACAACTATCAATGGTTTCTAAATAGTTCTGGTTTGAGTCAACCTGCAATATGGGGTTTTCAGGTACTTTACAATAGTGCTGCATGTTAGGATCAGCTCTCCAGAACAATAACATCAAAAAGTCGCCTTCCTGACAAATCAACCCAGGTGTCATGGTCGGAAAGTGGAAGTCCCAACTACTTAGCCAAAGAGCCATAATTTATATATCCTTCTCCTCATCTGTCACTCCTATCTGATCTTGCTCCAAATCTTCTGTAACCCCTTGCGTCCTAGTGGCTTCCCGCCTTGCTTGGAGTGAAACGCTTAAAAAAAAAAATATATATAATTTGTATATAACAATGTTATTTTTTATATATATATATATATATATATATATATATATATATACATAGAGAGAGAGAGAGAGAGAGAGAGAGAGAGAGAGAGAGAGAGAGAAAATTAATATGAGTAAAAGTTTGTCACTTAGCTGATTGATGTTACCTTCACAATCCTAATTCCAGAGTTTCGTAGGTGGATCTGTCCGTCAACTTGTCAGGGGATATCAGCAATTTATTTGTTTTATATATATATATATATATATATATATATATATATATATATATATATATGTATTATTTATGGATCTACAGGTGGTATAAATAATGGATAGTGGCTCTGAATAAGAAATCAGAGACACAAGTTCAAATTTCAGTTAAGTTCATTACATTTGCTTATGTGCAAATACCTTTTGGAAAGGTATGAATCCATGTTTTCTTCCCCCAGCTATAGGTAAAATAGCAGGACAGACTGGTTTTTTTAGTATTGGTTGGCAACCAGTCTAGGAGAAATACAACTCCTGAAGAGAGCTGTTGGGAGACCTCATCACACACTATGTACACCAATCCATTGTATACAGTTCTCCCGAAAAGTGTAGATGGTTCTGCACAAGTCTTTACCAGTATAATCAAATCAAATGTACAGGTGGTTTGACTGTTCATTTCTAAGAGCTGAATTGTTGGACCCTCAAAGGTTGAAGACAACAAGAATGTCCATCATTTATTATTTGTATATTTCTTTTTTTACATATATAAAAGTACTTTATTTAAAATTCTCTGAAAACAGCTAATTAATACATATAAAAAAAACAATATTTTTAAATGTAAATAAAACATTTCTAAATAATATAAAATGTTATTTTATATAACTATCACAGCACATACACAACTATACAATGGTTCCTTTACAAAAAGGCTGCAGGTTCAAACACTATTGAAAGTACAGTTTCTTTTTTTAAGACACTTAAATAGACAGGCTAGTAGAAAAATAGGTTTTGACTGTTTAAAAACAGGCAGGCGTATCTACTCAAACACATGTAACCACTAAATATATCATTTAAAGTAATATATATATGATAAAAATGTAGTTTTAAGGTATACTATATACATTTATAGGTTAAAGTACTCAATATTCGGCATAGAGCATATGTAAATGTGGATATTGCAGTCAAAATCCAGTGACGACAATCTGTTTAATGCTTAAACATAATCTTCAGGTTATCGATTGCCTGTGGATTGTGTTGATTTTTGATCAATTTTTAGAAAGATACAAAAACCAGAAATTAGTAGGCTGTTGAGCAATTTTTAGAAAATACAAAAAATAGAAGTTGTTTAGCTGCTGACTAATTTTTAGAGAAATACAGAAACTAGAAATTGGTTGGCTGTCAACCAATTTTTACAAAAAAATATAGAAAAAAGAAATTTGTCTGTTGACCAATTTTAGAAAATTAAAAAACTAGAACTTGGTTAGCAGCTGAACAAATTTTACAAAAAGATATAGAATAAAGAAATTGATTGTCAGCTGAACAATTTTTAGAAAAACACAAAAGAGAAATTGGTTGGATGCTGACCAATTTTTAGAAAAATACAAAACAAGAAATTGGTTGGATGCTGACCAATTTTTAGAAAAATACAAAAACCAGAAATTGGTTGGTTGTTGATCAATTTTTAGAAAAATACCAAGTTCAGAAATTGATTGACTGTTGATCAAATTTTAGAAAAATACAAAATCAGAAATTGAATGGCAGTTGACCATGTTATAAAAATACAAAAGCACATTTTCTTTATTAAGACACTTGAATGCACAGGCTAGTAGAAATAGGTTTGCAGTGTTTAAAAAACAGGCTGGGGTATCTACTCAAACACATGTAACCACTAAATACATCATTTAAAATATATATATATATATATATATATATATATATATATATATATATACTAAAAAATATAGTTTTAAGGTATGCTATATATATTTATGGGTTAAAGTACTCAATAACAGGGATAGAGCATATGTAAATGTGGATATTGCAGTCAACAACCAGTGACGACAGTCTGTTTCATGCTTAAACGACATCTATAGGTCATCAATTTCCTGCAGATTGTGTTGGTTGTTGACCAATTTTTAGAAAAAAAAAACAATAACCAGAAATTGGTTGGCTGTTGAGCAATTTTTAGAAAAATACAATAGCTAGAACTTGTCTGGTAGCAAAAAAAAGAAATTTGTTGTTGGCTGACCAATTTTTAGAAAAAAAAAATTGGTTGGCTGTAGACCAATTTTTAAATAAATGCAAAAACCAGAAATTGGTTGGCTTTTTATCACATTTTAGAGATATTACAAAAGCTGGATCTTCTTTGGTGGCTGACCAAATTTTACAAAAAAATATACAACAAAGAAATTGCTTGTCTGTTGACCAAATTTTAGAAAAATACAAAAACTAGAACTTGGTTGACAGCTGACCAAATTTTACAAAAAAAAACATAGAAAAAAGTAATTGGTTGTTTGCTGACCATTTTTTTAGAAAAATACAAAACAAGAAATTAGTTGGGCGTTGATCAATTTTTAGAAAAATACAAAAACTAGACTGTTGGTTGACTGTTGACCAAATTTTAGAAAAATAGAGAAACCAAAATTTAAGTGGCAGGTGACAAATTTTTACAAAATTACTGAACCAGAAATTATTACTAAAAATAGCTTGTTCAATTTCCATGCAAAAAGTGGATCACAGCGATGTTTTGAACAGGTTCAACTTTGCACATATTTTTTTTAATATTCCAGTTCTAATTGCTCACCAAATATACAAGTGGGCATTGCTATCCACCCACGCACAAGTTTTTTTCATTGCATGATCAAGTTAAAATTTTTAGCACCAATTTCTCTGAAGCCTACCCAAGTAAATGAATTTACTTTACTAACTTACTTTACCAGTGAACATTGTGACTTCATACTATTTGCTACACAAACCTATGTCACTTCATCTGATGTTTTCAAAGTTACTTGCGATCATATAACAAACTTCCAGAAATTTCACTCACTCATCAACTCATTCATCCAGCAGCTCATAATCATTCCTACTGTTGAATAAACATTGCAATTTCATTCAAACAAAGCAAAGACCTTTTTGACAACAAAATCATCTTACAAACTTTCACAAACATTTCAACTTCAAGTCTCATCAAGAGCAGTCAAAGGAAGACAACTTTATTCAAACTAAATTTACACAAATTTAATGTGAATTTATTATTTGACACAAACTGTTTAATTTTCTTCTCAACAGTTTATTACTAGATACTACTTTGTGAAACTTTTATCACAAGTTTTGCAACACTTAACTTCTCAGCTAAACTCACAAGCATCATTCACACACACACACACATCTATATATAGAGTTTAACATTAATGAAACTAACAAACAATAGCATTGAAGGAGGAAAAAAGTTCGCAAACATTTGTGAAATTCTTTATTATATAAAATGAGGAGAAAAATCAAATTATTCAGAAATGTGTTTGAAATCATGTGAAAGGTTTTGTTTTAGTTCCTTCCAACTAGTGTTGAAGTATTCACCAGTGTAAAATTACTTGCCAGTTATATTATCAGCCTCAAACCAGCACGCTGTACTTCAAATAATTTTCTCTCAACAATCCAAGAAAGCTATTTTAGACTATCTCTCTTTGTCTACTTGTGAAAGTATGCAACCATATATCCCTTCAGTGAGCAACAAATTCTCTTATATTTGTCTTAAATATTTTTGAATATTATTTTTTGCTATCTCATTTAATCTGTTTGTGTAAACATTTCCTCTTCATGACAATATTTATTGGAATTTAATTTAAGAACAATATTTTACAAGTTCACATTCTAGCCTATTTTTCCAATCTTTTTTCTTACTTTCAAAACTGGCTCCCAGAAAATTTGTATAACAACTTTCGAGGGGAAAGTACCCCATTCTTCTGAGCCTCCCAAATCTCCATAAATTTTTTGGAGAATCTTCTTCGCCTATTTGGCAGTGAGAATTCGACCACCGTCTGTGAGGTCGGCCATAGAGAACACAAGTCAATATTACCTATGTTTCCTCGTCATTATCATCCTTCATAAATCTTTTTTGTGTGGGTAAATCAACTGTTCAAACCCTAAGCCCCACGCCACTAAAGTTCTACATGTGGCCGGTAAATAAAGTCACAGAAAAAAAATCACAATTAAGTTAAGTTTATAATTTAAGTTAAATATTTCTTTAACAGTATTCAAGGCTTTTTAAATGCTGACGTATATTCCAGCCAATACCACGAAACTCATTAATTGGCCTCCATTTCTGCATATCCATTTTTTATACTGATATTGATTGATTGACTGACATGACCTTAAAAAATGAGAAATCGATGGTCCTTACTAAAGAAAGAGGCAGGAACAATATTGTCCTATTTCTTTCTTTTTTTTCTTTCTTTGACATTTTTTATCTGGATTCGGCTACTGAACCTAGCATGTGATTTTGTCATGTTCTACAGTATATGCGTCAATTTAAAATAGTAGCAAGTGGATGTTTATTTATTTTAAGGTCAAACTCAAATAAAAAGACTGTGTTGAAACTTGAAATGGATAACAACTCAAACTGCTTAATAATCAGCATTAAAATTCCGATCATCTTTATCTGGTTTCGAAGAATGCATCGATCCAGTATGTATCAGTAAAATTGAGTAAAACAAGGCTTTGAATTCGTTTCTAGTGAAACTGACCACACATTGACCGATCTGAGAGTGTAATAAAAATAATATATAAAATAACGGTATGGTCCCTCAAAGTAAAAGAAGATAACGGTACGGTCCCTTGCAGGGGAGTTAACTCTTTTTGTCAACACGATCTCACGTGTAAAAATCTCGTTGATGGAAGGTAAAGTTACTAATAACTATGTTTATTTTTTCTTTTTGTAGTTTTTAATTCTCTCTTACCCAATTTTATAGATTAATTTGAGGAGATATGTAATGCTTTTATAGTGTTAAGTAATTTAATTTTGCTGATAGATTTTTTTTATTGATTTTTCGAAACTACTTAAATGAGAAAGTCAATGAATTATTGTAAATGAGTTAAAAAAAATTAGCATCATTTACTTAGTAAAAAAAGAATAAAAGTATTTTGCATTCGTTCATCATGAAAGTTAATTATTTGAAACATGGGCGGAAAGTTGTTAGAAGCATCCCCTAAAAATTTCATTCGAGTACATTCATGTGACAGTATTAATTTAAAACCAAATAGTAATATTTTAAAATACTGTATAACAATAATATATGTTTTTAAAAAAAGTGTCTATATTCTCCCAAACATTATTAGCTTTGTTGAACTTGAAAAATTCTCTATAAATTGCCTCATCCAGGTCTGACCATTTCATATAAACTTTTGAACTATCAATTAGGCGTTTCTTGATTCTTCTTCTTGTCCAATACTTCTACACAGGCCCCCCCCCGTCATTGTGTTATGAAAATTCTGATTATGGTTGACAACTAAATGCTGAAACCCAGTGCAGCTAAAACCCATTATAAGCGGCCCATCCATCACTAAGTGTGGTTGGTAAAAAAAAAAAAAAATGAGACATTTATATTTAGTAGCGTGTGGTCTCTGGGTCAAAATGAATAGTTAGTTTACCTGTAGAACATTATTAATAAATAAAAATAAAGATATAAAATAATATCATAAAATAAAACAAACAGTAACTTTGTTTAAAATAAATAAATCAAAATAAAAAGTTTTCCCAGCATGCAAGAGAAACTTTTCCTGCTGGAAAATGAACTTTGCTGAAAGATGCTGAATTCAGTCTTTTTGCTTTTTGTTGAGAGGTCATCCATCTCCTCTCTTTGGGATATTGCTTGTAATAATACAAAGTGACTTCTTCCTTTTTTCACATACAACTTTAAAACACTTGTAACTAAAATACACACACATACACCAATACACAAAATAAATTGTAGGATTTTAATTTACAATTTAGTGTGCTTTTAGTGTTATTTCTGTGCATGTTTTTATTCCTGTGAACACAAGGATATTTCTGCTGGGATAATGGGAGTGACACCACATACCTACGCCAAGAAGGTTAAGGGAGGATGATAATGTCAAGGAAACACACAAGTTATTTTAACAAAACAAGATAAGGAATTTATTAACAAATTTACACACTTGAAGTAGTAGTATCAGTATCTTCTTTCAGGAAAATAAATTTTGAAAGTTTATAGTTTTAACAAATTATCATGAAGAGGAAATGTTCATACAACAAATGAACTCATCTGACAAAATAATATTCAAAACAAAAATGTTTAAAACAAAGGGAAGAGAGTTTGTTGTTCACAGATACAGTTGCATACATTCAAAATGAGACAAAGAGAGATAGTTTGAAATACTTAGCTTTCTTAGAGTGTTGAAGGAAAATTCTTTGAAGTGGCACATGCTTGGTTAAAAGCTGATAATATAATTGCTGAGTAATTTGACACTGGTGAAAACTTGAACACTGATCACGAGGAACAGAAATTAAACTCTTTGCATGACTTCAGACACTCTTCTCTTGTTAATTTAATTTTTTTCCCTCATTTTATATAAAAAATGATTTCACATAGGCTTGCTATTTTTTCTTTCTTTTTCTTGGGTCAATGGCTAATTACTGTGAAGACAAGGTTTTCATTGGTTCATAAGCAATTTCACATAGGCTCATGAATTTATTTCTGTCTTTTTCTTAGCTAATCTCTGTGAAGGCAAAATTTTCATTGGTTCAAAAAAATTTCACAGGCTTGTGAATTTCTTTCCATCTTTTTCCTCAGCACACCTAAATTTGAATATATATAATATTCATTAAATCCTGATAAAGAGAGAGATAAATATATTGTGCACAAGGAATTGTTTTGACTTTGCAAAGTGGAGGAAAAAAACTGGTCTGGGATTTTTATCACTTGCTTTCAAGCTTAATTTTTGATAAAACAATAATTTTTGTTAACTAGTGATTTTATATTTAAAAAAAAAATTCCTACAATTCCCTGGCACTTTTGTTGGTTATTCATTGGTCAATATCAAGAAGTATATTGTCTTGTTCCAGGTAATCCTCTCTTTTGGGCCATACCTTAGCATAGGAGATAAGGAAATTGAATATAGAATAAGCTGCACTAGAGCTAGGTTTGTCCAGTACTGCAAATTGCTACCAAACCAAAAACATTAACCTTATAAACATTTTATTCCTTACTAAATCTATGTTCTTGTGTCAAACATAAAAACTTAGTAGAAATAACAAGTCATAACAGGCACAAAATTACAAAATAAGACTCAACCACTGCATAAAATTTTAAGGGAAAAACATTACAAAAAAGGTACAAATACAAAGTTTGCACAAAAATTACCTTTTGTGTACCTATTAAGGTAGGATAAAAAATTTCTATTAAAAAAATTACCATCAAAAAAGGGAAAAAAATTACATTTTGGGAAAAGACATGGATTCAATGACAAAAAGAGAAAACAATTCAAGAAGGCAGAAAAACAAAGGTACATCCACCTTTCAGAAAAAACGAAAACACCTACTTTTACTTGCCCCACAAGCATCTCTGGGACATATAGTAATTTTAGAAAAGTCTCTTTTAAATTCACACAGTTTTCATGCTTGGGAAAATTTCTTAGAATTCAAAAAGTTCTTTGTTGTTTAACCACAGGAGAATTTTCACTTGACTTTCAAAATTCTTTAGTCTCTCTGCAGCTGGCTCGTAATTGGTGCCTTTTTGATTCTCTCTTCTTCATGCCAAATGCCTTCTGCTCCTTTATGTTGATTTGCCTTATCTCCTTGCTGTCAAAGTGTTTTCCCATCGTCCACTGACCTGCGATCTATATATTTGGAAAATTAGGCTCGCACGGCCTGCATGTGGGTTCTTACTAGGGTTTCAGGCCATGTCTCTTTTTGGTCAGTATACATGAAAAAATAATTTAACATAAACTAGAAATGGTCCCTTCACAATTTTGGCGGCTTTTAACTGCTGAGCTGAAAAAGATATACAAGTGTAATAATTTTTTACCCAACCCCCCTCTGGCCTTCATAAAAATACACTTCTCTCAAAAGAACATGGACAAAAAAAAACAACCTAGATGATTAAACATTTATTCAAGACGAACATTTTAAAAGTAGTAAAAATAAAAATTTTATAGCCTAAGAACTAGAGTTACATTCTTAAATAGACTAGTCAGATTGCAACTTTCATTTGGATATCATGAATGGTGCCAAACTCATTCAGAGATGTTTAAACTGTCAACTGAATACAACTGTTTTCACAGATTATTAGTTAAAATGGCTTTGGAGAGGACTGTCCTTTGAGCCCCATGGTCTGGAACTAAAGATTCACAAAGAACTGTATCAAATAACTGTTATAATGAGCATGTAGATGCAAAGGAAAGAACAAACAAGGATTCAAATTTCAACAGTGTATATTGATCAAATTTCAGAATATATACATAGTTGTGTGAAGAGATGACAAAACTGTTGATATGTGGTTCTTTAGTTGCTGTTGGTCAGGGAAGCAATTAGCAGGATGTTGTTGGTAAGGCTGGGAGTTGACTGATTTGTTGGGTTGGTTGGCTGAGATCACAGTTGGTGTCAGGAGAGGGGCCTGGAGTGGGTTAGTGAAGCCAAGTGGAGTATCATTGGTAAGGTTACATATGCCTTTCTTCAGGGTTGAAATCAACACAGGTGAGATGTTTGATGGGCTGTCGATCGTGCGATGAAGTTGAAATGTTGAAGCTGAACAGCCTGTCATCAGTGAGGAGTGCTGTTTTTATATCTGTAGTTGCGGACTCTCAGGTGCACCCCCCCTTTTATTTTTTGGTGGAAATGTTCATGATTGGCTATTGATTGCATTTTGGATTTTTGTAGGGATTTGTTTTGTAAACTGGATATGATGCATGGAGACCCTGTGCTGAAGATGACTTATTTTGTGTTTTGCTTTCTTAGCACTCATGTCTAGTGAGAGATCTTGATTAAAAATTCTTGAGTTAACAGAAACAACATCACTTGAGAACTTTCAACAGCAGCAACAACTAAAATGGATTGTATATGTAACTTGAATAGAAAATAATGATGTAATGGAGATGTTCATGCTTGACAGTATTTTAAACCAAAGGTTAGGAAGGTAACCTCTATCAGTACTGGAAAGAGTGATAACTGATCCCAAGAAACTTATTTTCCTGAAAAGTTGTTTTAATAAAAAGATTTTATAAATTTCAACTGAAAATAGCACTAGATGTTCAATCAATGATTACTGAATGTTTCCTTATAAGGAGACATAATATTACCATTACAACTAGAGATTATGAGAACAGATGCTACAATTTGATCCTGGGCCAATGGACTGGGAGTGAAGAAGAGTTTAACAGGTAGCCCTAGCTGCTCAATCAATGAATGCCAAATGTTTCCTTATAAAGAAATGGTTGATATATTAATTACCTCTTAATTACACTTCTATGCTATTCTCTGATGCCCGTGACATGTTGAAGACAAATCCAAGGGAATGAGACAGTTCCCTTTCCCCTTATATATGTAGGCACCAACTTGGAAAGAATGGGCATATGGAATCAAAGTCAGGTAATTCATAAATATTTATAAAAGAGTTACAGGTTTTGTGGTTGTAATAGTAAGTGAGTATCTTACCAACCAAGTTGCTAAATTACTTCCCTTGAAAGGAACTCTCAGTAAGTGGAGAGAGTAAATGTTACACAGAAGAGAAAACAAACTGCTAGTATTTAGAATATTTCTTTGAGATAATTCTTATGTTCTCACAGTCCCCGGTTGCAAACTAGTATGTACCTTATAAAGGTTACATAAGAATGGTTATTTTAATTTCTGATTGAATTTTGCTATCCCCCACCCCTATAAAAAATTTGCCAATTATTTTTTATTTTCCTTGCTATTTTCTTCTTGCAGGATTTTGACTGGTGATGCTCGTAATATAACACAGTCTGTAATTATGAAGATCATTCGAAACAAGCGGGTTAAAAAGATTCTGGCTTTTTACCGGAATTACTTTGAATTTCGAACACCTTACCAAGTCTTGATTGATGGCACTTTCTCTCTGGCTGCTCTAAACTTTCACATTAAGTTAGATGAACAAGTTGCCAAATTATTTGAAGCAGAAGTCAAACTTTGTACAACATCTTGCATCATCTCAGAGTCCGAAGCATTGAGTGAGTTTTCTTTTTCTCTTCTCTCAATAACACTTTCATTCATTTCTGAGTATATATTGCTTTCTGATTTCCTACAGTAAAATCATTACTAGTAAATTTACATTATTTTTTTAGTAGCACTTGCTTTCATTTTTGACCATTGATAATCCCTTTCTTCCTGATTTTTAATGCATTTCCCTAATAAACTCATTTATAGTTCATTTCTTTAGTAAAACCCATTAGCAATGCATTTACATTATACATATAACTGCTGTTTTACTGATGAACTTGCATCTTGAGAAAACTCATGTTATTTTTAATGCTTTTCTATAATAAACTTATTTATGGTGTATTTCTAATAATAAAATTATTTGCAGTGCATATCTATAGTAAAACTATTAGCAAAAATGGATTTTATTTCAACAATTGAAATAAAATTAATTTTTCTGATGATGCCAATTTGTTGGTGAAATATGTCAAAATAGAAATTTCCAAATTGTCTTGAATATTAATCCATGATGTTCTTTATTAATGGCCATATCATAGTACATCTCTTGCATAGAACTCAAATTTTGTTATTCAATTGGGAGCAAAGATTATTAGTTTCAGTTTGCATAAGTTCACTGCTGCAGTTGGCTTAAGAAATTTTTGCTTTTCATGCATGGAATAACTTTAGCTTATTTAATTAACATATAAGATTTATTTATTTTATTTCCTTCGGATTTGCTATATTATTTTATGTTTTCATTGCAAAAACAAACAAGATAAAGAGGATTAACTTTTTGAGCCAAATTAATTATGCACTTAATTTGTTCTTTGTTTTTTGAATTTCTTTAGCCAACTCCAGCAGTGAAAGATCTCTCAAAAAAAATAAAAAATGAAAATCACGTTTTAATTGTCAATCATTGGTTTTCTTTCAGAAAAAATTCTTCCGGGACCTCTTCAAATTTTGCATCGATGCCATGTCAGTAAATGCCATCATAAAAATAAACCTGTGTCTGCTACAGAATGTCTACTGTCTATGGTGAAATCAAATAATTCTCGTCATTATATTGTTGCCACTCAGGTAGGAAGTTAATTTATAAAGTTAAGCCATTTTTATCACTATGTCTAGTGCTTTTACAGACTGTCTCACCCTCACACATTCAGAGGGATTGCATCAATATGCCAGTACACCACTTGATGGATAGATCCATTAAACTTTAACAGCAGTATTTGAACATATTTTTGTTTTGGTTTGGTGGGTTTTTACATATCTACTCTTGGATTATTTAATGTCAAAAATCTGATCTTTGTGATACTTGTGTCTCCAAGAAAGCATTGGGTGGTGGTTTGGTTTACACTCATGTCTCAAGTTAGACAATTTTTGAGAATATACTTGCGTCTCTAGGAAGACATTGGTCAGGCTTTTGCTTGTGTCTACAGGTAGACTGGTTGGGCTTACAGTTGTGTCTCCAAGTAGACATGCATCCTTGGTATGACGATAAACTACATCCGTCCAACAGCAAAGCCTCTGATCAGGAGGTTTTGAGGAGTGTGGAACCACCTCTTAATTGCTGGTGTTCCCAGATAGCACCTGTTAGGGTCCCAGCTATAGGCACATAGTTAACACTCGGATTATATCCGCGTCTTGAGTATGATGATAAACTACGTTCAACAGCAGGGCCTCTGATAATACGTTTTTGAAAAAATAATATTACCAGCTTTACGTTTTTGAAAAAATAATATTACCAGCTATAAGTTTTTGGAAAAAAAATATTACCAGCTATACATTTTTAAAAAATAATATTACCAGCTATACGTTTTTGAGGGAAAAAATATTAACAGAAATAGATTTTTGACAAAAAAATATTACCAGGATAAAAAAAAAAAGTTGTCAGTATTAAATGACCCATTGAGGTTGACATGCTGTAAAACAAACCAAACCAAACCAAGTAGACATGTCGAGCTTATGCTTGTGTCTCCTGGTAGACAGTAGTTGGGCTTATGCTTGTGTCTCCTGGTAGACAGTAGTTGGGCTTATGCTTGTGTCTCCTGGTAGACAGTAGTTGGGCTTATGCTTGTGTCTCCTGGTAGGCAGTAGTTGGGCTTATGCTTGTGTCTCCTGGTAGACAGTAGTTGGGCTTATGCTTGTGTCTCCTGGTAGACAGTAGTTGGGTTTATGCTTGGGAATATGGCTGCTACTTATTTCTGAGCACAACTGTTTGCTAGCACATCTAGCCAAACCCTATTAAAGATTACTACTCAATCCACACACCCTGATTTAAACTGCAACTATACTGAGCAGACCTTAGTTACAGTTTCTGGGAGAATGCGCATATTCTGGCATGATCAGTATCTTGAAAAAGGTAGTACGATCAAGCTTCAAATTTACTGTGGATGATCTAGTGATTAAATTAAAAAAAATTTTTAGCATTTCCTCTTCTTTCTGGATACTTTAGAAAAACTTTTAATTTTTTATTAGAATTTAAAAAAATTTTTTTCATCTTTATCAATCCCATGGCTGACAGTGATCATTGGGTCACTCTCCCAGCTGAGTACCTGATCAGTTCCCTCCACATAATTGAAAGCTGGAGAGGTATACATTTATACATAGCATGTCTTGAGCAAGTGAACATGGCAGAGCCCATCCCTCTACAGATCAAATAATAGTCAATGTCCTCCAACTTGAAGGCCCACTTTGGTCACAGATACATGGCAATTGATTTTATTGATGGAACCTCACTGTGCTGGCTGGAAACCTAGCTATTGAGCCCAGTCTACCCCATTGTGCTAGATGACTGTTGACCCCTACAAGTAGGTTCATTGTCTAGCTACTCTCCTCCCCAGAAAGCCTGGTAGTACACCAGTTTAGTTACTGATGACTTGACCATGTGGCAAGTAGTATTGTGTTTCATGGTTCTGGTAGCATCTGACATATTTCTGCTAATAATCATTTTTTCATCACCAATTATGTGTGTAAAATCATCAAGTAACTTTCAATTGCCTTTGAGAAATGCCACAAAGAACAAAGTATGATGCCTCACCAATCTATAAGATCAGTGATTCTCAACCACCATTCCATAGCACACTAGTTTACTGAGAAAGTATGATTGGATTCGAAATCCTTTCATGAATGTTCTTTCTAATATTGGACTTCAGTTATCTGAAGAAGAAGAATTGGCCACCATTTTGACTGATCGAGGGGTCAAAATAAAACATTTGACAGTACCCAATGATACATTTTGGATTTCAAGACAAAAGGAATATCCGACATTAGCTAAAAAGGATTTATTAGTTTTATTGTAATTTTCTATTTCTCAACTCTAAATAACATCAAAGAAGCAAGAAAGACTAGGCTCAATTGAAGAAGAAATAAGGGTCTGCTTATTGTACATTCATCCAAACATTGAAGAAATCATGAAAAAACACCAGACGCAGATTTCACACTATAAGCTGCCCAAATAGTTGAATAGAAACATTGAAATAAACTAAGTTCATATTTATGTGTGTATTTTTTTAAAAATCTATGGTTTTATTTCATAATATTTAAACCCTTTAAAAATTTTGCTAGATGTCCCATGATATTTTCATTTGCTTCTAAGTGGACCATAAACTTAAAAAAGTTAAAAAAAAACTATTAGATAATGGGGTGATTTTTTTTTTTGACTCAGCCTAAGAATATGCTGGAAAAGTAGGGGAAAAAAACAAAATGATCTAATCTCTTATATACATCTTGTCTCCCCATTTTTGGCAAAAGTGATGTCAGCTTTTGTATGCCTGGACATTTGGCTGACACACATTTAACCAAAAAGTACAAGTAAAAATAGTAATAAGCAATACTTTAAGTATTATTAATTCGCAGTATTATAAAGTAGAATAGGACTAATAATTACCACTGGATTTCAAGTGATTAAATTACTAAATTTAAAGTTAAAAGTTTTCTTATTTCAATGTTTGTTTATTTAAATTACTATTTTAAAAAATATTTAAGTGTATTTGGGTAAAAAGTAGCACCTAATTATTTAAATTTGTATTTAACAGTAAGATGAAAGCTAGTCCATTCCTTCAAGATAATGATCATTAAAAGTGAGATTGAATAATCTTTCATATTGTAAAAGCTTAAAATTTTTGCTGTAGTAAAATGTGCTTTTTCTCAAAATACTTATCATCTTACAGTAATATTTGAAGTAAAATATAATATATGCAGAATAGATTTTTAAAAAAGCCTGTAAAAAAGGAAAAATTATAAATTAATACAGTAAATAAATATAAATATATATAGCACATTACGATAAAGAGTGTGACATACATGTAAGTACACTACTACATCTTTGGTTAAATGTCCGTCAACCAAATGTCCATCTACCCAGCTTTTGCAAGTCTTTAGTCATACCATATAATCATGGTTCAAAACTTTAATTACTCTTCTTCTATTGTTCTCTTTCCTTAATAATGTTTTTTTTATTTTTGCTGGGATTTCTTCCTAGCCAATAAAATAATCACCTTCTTAGTCTCATCTTTTTTATCTTGAAGTCAGAGTGCAACAATCATTTGTCTGTATTCCTTTTGTGTGTTGACACCATTCTTAGTTTGTGTAATTTTTACCTTATTACTGTTGTTTGCCTCCTTTTGTTTTGCATATATTTTTTGCTTGGTATTATTTTTGTCCTATTATTTTCTTTCTTTTGTTATTGTTTATTGGAAGCTCAATTTTGTTTGGCAATTTTTGCCAATTACAGTTAAAAAAGATCATTACCATTACTACTACTGGGTGCCCTCTATTTGTGGCCTTGTGTCAGACTATGCTATGCTTAGTAAAGGGGCACTTCACTGTGAAGTAATGGTTATCCTAGGAAACTGTTTCTACTCTGCGGGAGTTTGAACCTCATGTTAGTGTCCTTGTGTTAAGCTTGGTAAATACATATCATCAGTCATAATCGTCATCTTTCATTGTTTCATATGAAGTGCTTACAAAAATATATTTATCTGTATGGAATGCTATAAAAAATGGTTACATTTTTATTCTTTTTTTTTCTTTTAAACAGGATAAGAATCTTCAGAAGTCTCTGCATGAAATTCCTGGTGTTCCAGTGATGTTTATTGATCGAACTCTTTGTCTTGAATCTCCATCTGAGGTTTCTCGCCGTGTTGAGTTGTATGGCAGTGCAGCATTGCAAGCAGGGCAGCCTCTTGACTATGAGCAAGTTACGCTCAAACTGTTAAAGAAAAAGATTTTGGGGAAAAAACCCAAAATTGAAATCAAGAAACGGAAAAGGGCCAAAGGTCCAAATCCATTGTCTTGCAAGAAAAAGAAAAAACCTGAAGAGAACTTTGTTCCTCATAACCAAGATGGCGTCAAGAAAACTCGTAGAAAACGGAAACGAATGAAAATAAAGAAGCATCAGCAAGATAGCTAACTCCTGGAGATTGATCATTTTATTTTGAGAGAACGAGAGAAAGCAGATTGTGAAATATTTTATGTAAATTAATTAAAAAACATTTTATAAAAAAGTGTTGTTTTGAATTAAATTCTTTAATAAAAAAAGGTAAATTAATTCTTACTAATATTTGAATTCAGGAACAATTTTGAATTATAGCTATTGGAAACTGATAATTTATTTTAATTCAAAAAGCAGATTGTGTGAAAGAGCTTTTATATACAGTCATTAACAAAAGTTTAAAGCATCATCATCATAGTCATGTTTTTTTTCTTTTTTTGGTGACAGGATGGATTAATGTTGCACAAAGCAAGATGGATCTTGCCTAATGGTGAATCTCGGTTTACCTCTTGACATGTACCTGTCAACATACTTAGACTTGTCATAATAATTTGAGGTTTGGTTTTACAATGCCTGATTCCCATTGCCCAACTCTTTAACACTTTAAACCACTAGGTTAGCCTAGTGGATTAAATGGTTTGTGAATTTGGTGACATAGTAATTGTGAGTTCAATCCCTGAGCCGGGCAGTGTGTACTTGGATTCAGTGGAAAACGGGCAAGTAATAAAAGAGCAGGACTAGAAATAAGAACTTGATGATATCCCTAGACATAGGCAGTGGAACAAGAACAGTCTACCCTCATAGATTAAATAAAGGGTTCAGTTCAGAATTCCCTGTAAGTTACCCAGATTGATATACACCTGATGAAGGTCGAAAGGCATAATGGTTGAAACGTGATAACAACAACAAAGATGAGGACCATAGTCTAAATATAAATAGTGTAGATAATGATAATTCCTCATCTCAGAAATTAAGGCAGAAATTATCAAAATTATTCAATCAAAATTTTTCCTATTTTTTATAATTGGTGCTATTTAAGTAGTGCCAGAATAATTTTTTTTTAATGCTCAACAGCAGTACAATCACTACAATTTTAACCTGTTCAAGTCTAGGGTTAACCATTATCTTCCTCTCCTATCTACATAAACTGCCTCTTAATGTAACCCTCTATCTTGGATTGCTCCTGGGCTGTACACAGGCTATTAAAAAAAATAAAGAATGCAGTCAGTACCTTTGTGTATGGCAACTATAAAGTATCAGCAGGCTAGTCTGGCAAACCATTACTAGTGTGTAGTTGAGACTAATTCTTTTATAACAGCTACTTTACAATGGTAAAGCAGCTGTTGTTAAATGTTCTAGAGCAAAGCAGGACAATTTTTTTTTTTTTTTGGGGCTACATGTGTTGCTTGGCAGATTTATGGTGAGCCATGAGTATAAATGAAATATTGAATAATGAACAGACCAGAAACACTATGGCATTGACATTTAACAGTAACCAAAATTCCAATAGCCACTTGTAATTATTTTATCTCAATTCTTAAGCATTCTTACATTAGATGATTAGAAAAAAAAAATCTTCAGACACTGTTTATTGCAAAACAACATGGTCACACTTTATTATTGCCTGTTGCACTCAATCCACAAGTTTACAGTGGGAGTTGCAGAATGGCAGTGATTTGTCAGCTTGTACAAAATGACCTTGTAGCCTAGTTGTATTTACAAATTTGGTAATTTTTCATGAAGATTCAATGAAATTAACAATTGTAGATTTGACATTTCCATTGAATATTAACTAAAATTGAAAAAGAAAAACTGATTAAATGAAAATTGGATCATGCTCCCAAAAACTTTTTCTTTGAAATACTTTTGTAGTCTACATTCAAATCTGCCATGGGCTGGATGTGATTCACAGGCTGTAGTTTACCCACTATTGTTTTGGAGCCAAAAGTTTATGAAGATGAAATTTAACTCAAAAAGGATAGTTATGGGCTGTGGATGAATTACTGAGTAGTAATCATCCAAATGGATAGTGGCTCGGATTGAGGAGTTGGAGAGCCAAGTTTGACTTCCAGTTGGATCCATTGTATTCGCTTATGTGCTAATACCCTTGGGAAAGGTATAAATCCTCTTCTACCCCCCTCAGTTATGGTTGAAGAGCAGGACAGACCGAGTTCTATAGCCTTGGATGCAACTGGTCTACTGTAGAAAGAAATGGCTACCTGTGGGGAAAAAATCTGCCTTGTCAGTCATGTATCAAAAGACACATAATTGCCTAAGTTGATAAGCCAGAAGTTGCATGAAGCCAAATTTAGATTGAACGCAGTGGGGTTCTAGACTTGAGGGAAGTAATGTTTTGTAGGATTATCTCACCTTGTCTGCCAATGAACTTCACTTAATGCTGCTAGGTAGCATTCTATTCAGGAACATGGAATGAACAAACCCTGTCTATCTGTTTGTTGCTCCAAGAGGTAATCGTGGCAACAATGGGACTATTCTTCTCCAGGGAGACACTTTTTGGGCAGACTGATTACTTAATTTCACACAACTGTGTGGTGCATCATGTTTTTCTTTCTTTCTGTGGGCCATGTTCTTTAAAAATTTATATATAAAAATCCTCCACATGTTGAATTTGTAGCGACTGCTATGCCTTTCCACGCCCACAATTTATTCGTTTGTGATTGGCTAGTAAATCAATACTGCTTTTCTATGAGACAATTTAGCAATCACAATCATCACTTTGAATTTTTCAGTTGTGAACTTGCTCACATGTTTCTTTGATACAAAATCAGTAATTGGTCAAATTTTAACCAATCAAACATTTTAATACTAAATCAATTTTTCCCATGTTTTCGCTCGGAGCCTAACAGTACCTTTAAAAGAAGCAATTTTGCTATAAGCCGCCAGTAGAATCCAGCTATTTTGCCTGTCCACACAAATCTATGACTTTACTCACAACATTTCAAACGCACACACAGACACAGATTTTTGTAACATATTATACATATCTCTCTTTGTGACTCAGCCAAGTTCATGAACCAGAACTCTATTAATTTCTCAAAACAACACAATTCGTAATTAACTGTAATCTATTCTAACAGCAAACTCTATTCAACATAGAATATTGAACATTCTTATTCAAGAGAAACTCTTTCGAACATTCAATCATAATTCAGAATACAGTTGGAGGGGAACAACTTTTTTCTCCTTAATCATTACACTTAATTGCATGATTTGTTTTGTATGTTTTCAATATATATTTATTTGTTGATCCACATATGGAGTTTTGTTTTTTCTTGAATTGTTAAATGTACAATAGATATATGCGCTAAGAACACACATCACAAATTCATTTCTTTCAAAAATGTTATTTTGAAAATTCTCATCTGTATCTGTTACTAATAAGAATCACCTGTTACAGTTTTACCAAAAATCCTGCCTAAAATGTATAGAATTGACAGGAGAATTGTGATGATGAACATGAATGTAAGACAGTACACATTCACTCAATGGTGTCACATAGCTTATTGAGTAAGCCTGCATGAGAGTGTTTGTTCATAGATGTGCAGTAAGATCTCCTCTGGTTTTTAAGTTATCTTTTCCCAAAGCTGCACAAACAGTTCATAAATGGAAAGATATGGACATGACTTGTGAAGATACAATAATTGAAAAATGATGAAACCGATATAGCACAAAAACTCTTTGATAATGATTTATGAAAGCCAAAAGTATGTATGCATTGGATAATTTATATTTAAGCTGTTAGCAGAAACTAAGAATATGGGATAAAATAAATAAATTCTTATATATGATTTGGAAATTCCTTTTCCTTGATAAAACATATGAAAACTAAAAATGAAAGGTAAAGATCAGTAATAGAATGGTATGTAATAAAAAAAATAAACAAAAGTAGAAATTGCAATCCATGTATGGAGTAGAAAAGTTATAGAATTCAAGAATATGAATGTGCTAATAAATGAATGGAATTGACTGTTGGCATGCTGACAAATTCCTTTAAAAATGTGACAAAGAATTCTAGAGCTCGGAAGTGTCTAGAAGAAACAAAATGTTCATTTTTGAAATTGCACAGTGTAAAAACAGTCTGTTAACATGTAAATAATAACAGAAATCTTATTTCTATATGTGTATATCTAAAGGATGGATTTATTTTAATTCGAGATTTTTATTACTTAAAAACTTACTATAGTGGGCAATTCTTATTCGAAATAGACGCCATATTTCTATTTATTAAACATTATGTATATCCCTTTATTGGTTGATACAATTATACGAAGAAAATAACTTAAGTTAGTTCCCTTTTACCCTTGACTTATTTTTATTTTGCAACAGTTGAAATTGGATTTTTTTTCCAGCGATAATCTCTCTAGTTACTCATTATTTTTGTTATTATTTTTAAGGAAAAATAAAAAATACATAATACGGATACTTAATTGTAATTTCAAGTTATTCATATTAAAAAAAGTCAATGAATTCTTTAGGAACAATTTACTTTTGTGTGAATGAATACCTTTGTGAGGAGCACGACACACTACAAAATGACACCGCAATTTCAACCAATCAAATGAATTTTCTTATACGTGTTCGTTACAGTGAAAGCAAGATGGCGTAACAGAGTTGGTTTATGTGCTTTAGTTCATCACATCGAAGAAGATTTAACAAAATTAAACAAAAATGAAGACTCGTTTTAGTACTGTTGACATTAAAGTCAGCGTCAATGAATTGCAACGGTAAGCAGAAAAATATGCTGAGCTTCTGTATAATTTTATTTGCGTAATAGAGAGACCCACATGATTTCTCATGTCCACATTGTCACCACATGTTATTGCGTTTACAAACATCTGATGGTTCAAAATTTAGAAAAAAATCTGAACATGCAAATTAGTGGTCTAGGAAATATTTTAATTTGATTTTTTTATTAATTACACAAAATTAAGCTAATTTAATGTAGGTAATATCACCTACATAGATAAGATTGCAAACAAAATGTGCTAAGTTGAATGAATGATGATCACTTTTTTTTTTTTATACATGTATTCCGAACAATTTACGATAAGTGATTGATAGAGAAAACATATTCGATTTCCCTATATTCCAATAATTAAGTTTTCCGAATCACAAAAAATATACTTTTTTTGTCTTTTGGTGAAAAATAATAAACTATATTTTATGTAATAATAATTATTCACGTGAAAATGTGCAGTACATTGTAGACTTCTGACAAATTACTGAGAACAAATTGTGAGAATATAACCCACTAGCTTATAAAATTTACTTTTTAAATGAATGAATGAATGAATGAATGTGTGCGTGTTTTTGGTATAATTTTTTAACCAGTAGTGGACTGGATCTCTAACTAAATACAAAAATATTGGTTACCAGAAGTCACGGTTACAAACAATTCAATACTATCTTTTAATTTTCATAACGAATAAATAAAAATTAAAAAAATATATACATATGGAAAAAAAAAGGTGCACAATTATAATTTTTGTGAAAAAAAATGTGTATTTCTTATGCCAGTAGATACTAATACAGAATGATTTTATAATTGAATTATTTTTTTAAAAATTTTAAGTAATTGGTTGATATTTTCAAATTTACTGCACAATTAACGCATTAGCAGATAGTTCAAAAGCACAATATAGCATTGCATGCAGTCCACTAAAAAGCAATCGTTTGTGTTTTCACTTGATGATTTTGTGAATCTGCCAATAATTGCTTCTGAATCCAATTCATCTAACGATTCCTTTTCAATGGATAGCAACATGTATGATTCCAAATTTTCCTCACAGCAAATTTCTTTAAATCTTATTCTTAATCTTAACCATGTCTTTATGATCTTTAGCTTTGAAAATGTCTTCTCACATCGAACTTGAGTAATTGATAGTGTGCAGATGCCTTTAAAGTTCTTATTCTTTTTTATTACTAAAACATTTGTCTGTGTTTGTTTCTTTATTTCCATTTTTATTTGATGGGGGGCACTTGTCATTAGCAAACTGACATCCTGTCCAGTCTGCTACTAATTTTAACCTTTCCGTTGTAAATTACATGTTTACAAGAACTAACCTAAATTTCCTTCACAAAGCAAAGCTTTTTTAGATTTTACCCTACCATCTGTTATAGAAATTAGAGAAATGCTGATTTGAGAAGAAAAAGCATTATGTAATGCTTGTGTGTTGGCTTTGGTTATGGATCAGTTATAACATTCAGTATAAGAGAAAAAAGAACTGAACACAGGATAGTTTGAACTGGGGGTACTTCTGTCCAACACATAGATAATGCAAAGCTGAAATATTAACCTGAAAACTCAATTCATGTAAATAACCTTGTCAGATCTAGACTTTTGTATGGGTGCCATGCATGGTGCCCAGCTCATTTAGAAATGTGTAATCTATCAAGTGTATACAAATCTTTTATCAGACTGGTGTTACAAAAACCTTTAACAAATAACAGAAACCAGATCACTTGTACACTTCCAACAACTACAACAAAAAGAGTAGCATATATGACTAGAAAGGAAAATGATGATATAATCAAGATGGTAACTTCCTACGTTACCATAAATAAAAGCAAGTACCTCCAAGGAGTTAGTAAAAAATGAGCATACATGAGGAAAAAATGTCCCAAACTTAATAAAAACAAAGTTTTACTCATTAAAATTATGTTATCATTAAGAAGAAAGACCAAAGGGTTTTTTGATTAAATTGTTTTTTAATCCTTTTTAGAACTTTAAAGATTGTTTTTCTTGTGTCAATGGGTGACGATGCATTAGTATGAAATTTTAGTATCTTTTTGCAATAAAAAAACATTGATTTGGAAATTCTTGCAAAAATCAGATAATTGTCAGATTCTAATGTAACTTTCAGGATTTATTCTGAATGAATGAAATTATTTTTGAAATCTTTCTTTTTTTATGAAATCTTGTTAAAATTTTTTTTTTTTTTATATCTGTTACTCTCCATTTATTACATTTCAAGAAATTCATTTTTATAGAACTTAATGTTTATATTAGTTATAAGAACAAGTACTTGGAGAATTTAAATCCCTAATTTTTTTGTTGTTTTTTTTTTTTTTGTAAAATAGGACCTCCAGTTACTGAAAATTTGCTCTGAATCATAAAATAAAGAATGCAATAACCTTAAGACATTATTTAATAAGAAGGTTTTAATTGTATTTATGAATAAGATATATTATGGACACTGTTCTATTAAATTTTTTTGATGAATAATGAATTTTTACAAGAATTGGTTTCATGTTTTAAAAAATTTAATTAGAATAATTTATGAAGTTTTAAACCTTTTAAAATTCTGTGTTAATTTGTATAGGTTAGGTGATAATGTAATTAGGTAAAAATTATATTTACTAATCATAAATGGAAAACCCTCCACCCTGTATTTGAAAAATAATTTCGAAATTTTTTTGTGTGTATGAATGTGCCAATTTTTATAAATATGAGATGTCCATACACAACATTATCAGAAAATAAGAGAGGTAACTATAGTAAATTAAAAATCTATTTTTAATTTTCTAACATTTACTCAACAAGTGTCTTCATAAGTAAGTCTATAAAGTCAAAGTACCTAAAATTCAAAGATTACTTAGAATATTTTTCTAAATTTTTAAGATTATTCGGTAGTTAAAAAAAAAATTACATTATATTCATCTAGTAATTGTTACAATGTTCCCATTTTGAAAAAATTCCCAACATAAATCTATCAAGAGAATTATTAACACCTCAGAAAAATGCCCATTTCCATGTAAAAAAAAAAAATGCATTTCTGTAATATTTTAAACTAAACGTATGTAATATGTTTCAAATCAGATTAATTAAACTTTCAATCGGCTAATCTTCCTCAAATAAAATTTGAGGAAAGTATATTTTATTTTTTGAAAGATTTTTTTAATGAAGAGTTTTGTGAATATGGCTAAAATCAGTCATTTTTAGTGATTTTTTTTTTTTTTTTTTAAACCTCATTCCAATCAATTTAAATTCAGTTTGAAATAGAGCAAAATATTTTGCTTATTGGAAGTATTTAATCTATTAGTTTGAAATTAAAACTAAAATAAAAGTATTAAGATTTTTTTCATTTTTAAAATTCATTCTAAACCTTAGGTATTGCTTATCTTTTGGAGGTTCCTGAATAAAAGGTTTGAAAGGAAATTGTCATCAATAAGTAGAAAGAGCAATTACAGCAGGACTGAGATATTTAATTTCCTGAAAGACTGTTTTAAAGAAATCATTTTTATCAATTTCAATTGACTGTAATAACAACTGCTTCATGAATGGAGGCTGAATGGTTCCTAACTGGAAATGGCTAATTTTACCATTTATATTTTTTCTTTTTTTAAATAATGACTAAAACAATAAAAATAAACATTTAAAAGAAAAAGTGAAGCTTAATTATTATGATTTATTACTTTTTTTTAATTATAAAGAAGAAAAAAGATTTGCTTCTCAGAAGCATATCTGACAATAAGCATGATCATTTCAATCACACTGATTAACTTAGCAATCTTTTGTTTTAGGTTGGGAAATTCAAAAAATAAAAAGGCAAGACTACTCTCTTTTGGTGTATTACAATAGATTTTATAGTAATACAAATTACAATAAATTGTATTATGATACAAATTTTATTGAATAAAAAAGAAAAAGATTTTTAATTTCAGCTTCTGTTATCTAGTTATTTGATATGTGAATCATCCTGGAGCTTGAATTATTACTAAGTGTGAATTACTACCTCCCCCACTTAGTTCCTTGTGTCTGTTGACAATAATTTACCAATGGAGGAATGGATTATTGGCAAATACCCAGTAGTGTTACAACTAACCTATTGTTTTTACTTTGCAAGTTAAAAAAAAACAGTAGCAAAGTGTCATATTGCAATGTTTTCAAGAAGTTGTGCTGCATTTGATACAGTTCTTTCAAATTCATATATTTCATCTTTTTTTTAAAAATTAATTCACACTAGGTACCTCAACAAAATTACTGAAAAAAGAGCATACTATTACTATGATATCAAACTTGATAAAAACTAAGTTTTATTGTCAAAATCTTTGTTATTAAGTATTTTTGATTATTTAATTATATTTTTTAATCCTTTTTAGAACATTCAAAATTTTGGTTAAAAATCTTGTTTTTCTTGCATCAGAAGATAGACTATAAATTAGCAAATTTTAGAGTCATTTTTGTGGTGAGAGACATTGATTTGGAAATTCTTGCAAAAATAAAATGATTGTCTGATTTTAATGAAACTTTCAGGACTTATTTACAAACGGATTAAATTTTTAGAAATGTTTATCTTTAGAAAATCTTTTTTTCTTTTTTTTTTTTTTTTACATGTGTTACAACCCACTCACTTAATTTTACGAAAACTCAAGAAATTCAATGAGATAATTTTTAGTGACTATATTAGTTAACAGCAGAACATCTTGGAGAATTTATATTATCAATGTTTTTTTTTTTTTTGTAAAATCAGACATCGTCTTAGGAGAAAATCTGCTCTGAATTGTAAAATAAAAAATGCAATAAAACTAAGACATTATTTAATTAGAAAAGCTTTTAATTGCTTTATGAATAAGATATATTAAGGATACTATTGTCTTAAGAAAAATTTTTACAAGACTTGTTCCATTTTTTTTTTTTTTTTAATTAGAATAATTTATAAAGTTTTTAAATCTTTTAAAATTCAATTTCAGTGGTGTAAAGGTTAATGGATATTGTTATTAA